TTATAAGAGGATAGTCATTGTATTAATAACTAGGCTAATAAATAGTGTCATTTGGAGTTTTTGTTTTTGTGAAGATAAATAAAAATGGTGGCATAGCATGTTAAGGGAATTTTTGGTGGGGTAAAATAATGAAGTTAGAAGATATGTTGAAATAGCATTAGTCCTTGTTTTATTTTAGTGATTCTAGTTTAGGATTTTAGGGTAATTTAGAGTTGGTGGGTGAATGTAAGGTGTGAATGTAGAAGTTGGGGAATGCTAGCATGGTTGTTATAAACTATTAATAGTTGGGTATTTGTTTGATTGGTGTGATTGATTTTAGTAATGATCTTTCGTTGTAAGAGTTGGATTCATTTTTTGATAGTAGGATGAGTGGTTGTTTAGGGGTGAGTGGTTGTGGTTTGTGAGGTAGTTGAAAATGATTATGTGAGGAAAGAATAATTATTTTTATTTTTTTGGTGATAGATTGTTGGGTAAGTCTTTTGGTAAAGGATTGGAATCCTTTTATCCTCGTGTGTAAGAAGTGAAAAGCTGGAATACATGGATCTTTGGTTAAGTTGACTCGAACAGTTTCAAATTTACAGAATTTTTAGTGCTAGGTTTGTTGATTTTTTAGTGCCAACATTTTTAATTGAGATAAAAGAGGCTAATTGATAATAAGATTCTCTAGGTTATGGAATGATCTTTTTGAAATTATGGACTTTGTTTGTGATAACAATCTTTTTTAATTACATGGGAGTTCTTTGGTTTTGTGTTTATTGGTTTGGCTTTTAGATGTTGAATCATTGGAGGTGAAAGTTTTGGGAAAACTAAACTGTTGCGCATGTGTCTATGATTAGAATAATTGTCCATTGCCATTGCCATTGCCATTGCCATTCCTACTATGACCTCTTTTCACATTTGACATACCAAGAGTCATAAATGAAACATCCACCTATATGGTCTTGCGGTTGAGATTAACACATGGAGATTATATTGAAGATAGATGCCAACATCTATTTTAGCTACCTCAAGCCAATTCCATTTCTACTATTACTGTTGAACATGCTACACCACAAAAGCAGAATGCGAAAAGCGCCACCTTCCAACACCACACGTTTAAATCTCAGCCGATCTGCATTCTACACTCTTAATTGGACCACTATATCATAAGGGTGTTTAACGATTCAGGTCACTCGTGGATCACTTTGAGTTGATGGGTTTGGATAGGAATGATAATAGGTTGAAACGAGATGAGTTTTTACTCGTTTTGAACTTGATTTGATTTTATATTTATAATATTTGAATTTAAACTGATTTGATAATTTTTTTTGTATATAATTTGATTTGATATTACATAAAATCGTACTTAATCTAACATAACACGAAATTAATAAAATAATTTTTTAAATATAAAATATTATTTTTAATATAAATATATAAAAATATAAATATAAAATTAAATAAATAATTAAAATAATAATATATATATATAAGTCTGAGTTAAGGTGAATTTACTTAAAACCTGACCCTTACTTTTTTAACTATAATTCTTTTTGACCTAACCCAAAACCGATTTGAAACAAAAAAAAAAAAAAAAAACTCTATGAGATTGGGTCAAAGATGGATTGAACTATAATCCCTATATTTGGATCAATTTTAAAGTAATCTTGAGTTTTAATGGGTGGTTCATGATTCATGTATTTTATGATCAATACTATTAAGATGATTTTTTGTTCTAAATATTTATCCATTTATCCCAAATAAAAAATCTAGATTAAAAGATTGAATTATTAGATTGAATTTAAATATATTTAAATATATATATATATAAATAAAAAATTAATTTCAAAATAATATGTATTATCCAACATCATCATAATGTTTCAACTTTCAAAAGATAAAAAGTTACTAATATGATTCTATTTCACTGAAAGTTTTCAAATTACATATAAAATTTTTTTTGTTTATTAGTTATCATCTTCTTAAGTTATGTTTGATGCATAAGATGATAAACAAAATAAAATGATAATTATCTTATATTATACTATTTAATTTATATCTAAAGAAAATTATAAGACTATAAAAAAAATTAATCATTCTTTTAATATACGATGATTCAATCTTAATCATCTCAAAGTGGAGATGATTATTTTTAATTCATAGGATTAAACTTACATATCCAATTATACCCTTTAAAATTATATCAATAATTTAAATTATATAAATTTTAAGAATAAATAATTTTATCAAATAAATAAATTATCTTATCTTAATATTTATACACATCAAACACAAAATATAATGATATTATTTATTTTCATACTATTTATAATATCATTTTATCTTATCCTATTATAATATTATGCACAAAAAACATCCTTAGTTCTTATAAATTTAAAACATAAAAGAACAATTTATAGCATTCACCTGCTAATGTTATCAAATGTTCATCCGTAGGCCAAATGCCTCACCTGTTATCACTTGTTCATCCATCAGTATTCTAAGAACTGAGATGCTTTTATTTTATTTTTCTTTTATTATCATATCTTTTAAGATTTTGTTTTCAATAATTTGTTGTGTAGATATATTGTTTCCGTGAACTAAAAACATGTCAAAGGGAGATTGTGATTCCAGTTACAAAAAATAAATCTTCATAAACAAGGTAACAAGTCCACGGTCCTAAAAGATTGTGGACCGATCCATGATCTAAAATTTAAGACCGTCCATCCGGACCGTACAGACCTACTATATCATATTTGTTTTGTTCGATAAAACTTTGAAAAATAGGAGCAGCCGTAACTATCTCCTCTTAAAGACAATAACCATCTTAGCTCAGAGTTTTTTCCCAAACAGGAGTACTTTAAAATCTTTATTCTCAAATTGAAATACTTTTAATCTTTATTCCTTAAATAAGGTACTCTCTAACACGAGTGCCATGTCATGATTTATGTGGCAAAAACTTACCACGTTGTGTCTCTTCTTTTTTCTTTTCCCATTCTCATCACTGGTTCATAAAAAATGGCCCGTCATCAACCACCATTGAATGGATTTGGATTTAAACTGAGTTACAACTATTAAAAACAACAATTAAAATCACAGCCATTATAAGAGCTTCCACCATACCACCTGCAGTTTTGCACATTCATTTTCCAGTCCTATTATTTTTTAACTTTTGTACTTTGATTGAGTATTAGTTTACCCATTTACATTTAGCTAAAAAACTCTGTTATTTTCGATTCTGTTGGTAAGCAAGTATGGAGGCCACCATCTACACCTCTAGTGAAAATTAGTTTAGATGGTGCGTTGAACAAAAAGCATAGAGCTGGAGGTTTGGGAGTTGTTATAAGAGACTCGTAGGGCATTGTCCTGGGGGCACTAGCTGCTAAAATACGAGGAGTTTTGGATCCCTGGATCGTGGAAAGCTGGGTAGCAGTCAAAGCTCTAGTTTTTGCAAAGGAGATGGGTTCACAAAAGTTATACTAGGAGGAGATGCATTAGAAGTGATCAGTCGGTTGAGAAATGATGAAATTGATCTATCCCCAATTGGCATCATCATTGATGAGGCTTGTATGCACGTAAAAGAGTTTCAACAGTGTAACTTATCTCATGTTAGACGAGCAGAAAACAGAGCAGTGCATGAGTTGGCAAAGCGTGGAGTGAACTTGGTAGCAGATTCTTATTGGATAGAAGAATCTCCTAAATTTTTACCAATTATTTTTTCAGATTGCAACCAAGTGGTTCATCAATGAATTTAATCGATCTTTAATTCTAAAAAAACTATTTTATTTTTTCATGTATGTGGAACCAATTTGAAACTTCAAATTTGAATTAAACATATTTACATAAATTTTAGGATTGTTTATGGGTGAATTCATTTGGGTAATAATTAAGAAATATATTAAACACAAAAGAACTTTAGAGTAAATCGACATTTTCAAAGAAAAAACACAAAATCTAAATTGTTAGTTAGATTCATGACAAAGTTGTAAACAAAAAGAGGATTATCAGTTACATTTGAGAAGCAAGTATAAAAACAAGTCTCCACCGATCTCATCTAATTAAAGAAAAATCCAAGTCTCTCTCTCTTTTCAAGTACATAAATCTGACCTATAAAAGCAATATAACATGGATTGCAAATATGGTTGGGGCATGGGAGTTTGTTGGCAAAAGAGAAAACCAATTGAAGGAGAAAGAAAACAAATGTTAAGGAAAAAGTCAAGATATTATGTGGTCATTATGTGCTTACACGGCAAAAAAATTCTATTTTAAGAAATAAGATTTATATTAACCCTTTCTTGCTCCTCTAAATTCCTTAATTTTTAACCAGCATGTAACCTTTTTGAACTTTTAACTTAATCATTTAATTAATTTTCTCAACTTCCTCAATATCAATTTTAAATTGTTTTATTTCATTACGATAGCAGTTTCTTTTGTAAGATCACCGTGATAATATAATTGTCGGGATGATCTTATTATTAAAGAGATCTTAACACTCATAATTTAAAATTATTTTATTTGATTAATAATAATTAATTCTTAAAAATTAAAGATTACCATATTTGATATTACTAAAAATAAAATATTATTTTATTTAAAAATATGAAAATAGTCATACATATTATAATAGTTATGTAAATTAATAATTTTATAATTGTTTAAAGATAAAAATTTGTAAAATATTAATAATATTTATTTATTTTATAATAAAATATAATTAAATTATTAAATTAATAAATATATTTATTTATAAGTAACTTTATTTTTATAATATAAATTATAAAAAAAGTATTTAAATTAAAAAATAAAATCAATCTATTAAATTCATAATAAAAGAAAAATAAAAAAATTATATTGTATATAAAACATAAAAAAAAGTAAAAAACAAAAACCAAATTATTTTAAACTTGTTATAATGAATATTAATTTGAAAATATAAAAATTTATAATATAAAATAATTATAATTTCAAAATGTGACAAGATTTTAATTCACATATTAAATAAGTAACTATTATTAATTTAATATATCACTTCATTTTGATGATAAAAATTTCTCATCATTTTATATGAGAATTAAATCACCCTCTAAAGCAATAATTTGATCACTCTCAATGATCCAAGTTCACTGTCACATAGAATCACCAAATGCTTACTAAACATATTGAGCTAATTACTATGTGCAAATCATCATGATTTTTAGAGTGATCACCCTATACCAAACACTACCTACATGTAACTTGAGAACATAGCTCGTTACATTACCAAGAACATGGAACACATATGGTTCAAATGTGATCATAATTAACAACTCTTTGCATCAAGAGAACTTGACACAATGGTAGGTCAACTTGTAAACTTTTTTTAACAGTGAGCAACAAGTGCAAGTGTTTAGCAATGGCCATGGACTAACATCATCATCTAGAGCCTCTTTCAGCTAGAGGTTAGAAAAATGTAGCAAAAATGGTCAGCAAAAATTCAAGAAAAAGTTCAGTGTTGTGGTGGAATGGAGAGACCACCAAGCCCATGTCCTGGTACAGTTTCGGTGCCTGTAGAATCGTGAGGTGCCACATTCAAGCCTCCATTCTCAGCAGTTTCTAAAGCAACATCTGCATCAATAGGTGCCCCAGCATTGCCTGTTCGGACTGGGCGGAGCAGACCTTGAAATCTCAATAAATAGCTCTGGCTAAGAGGCTGAGTTCTCACATATTGGGTTGTTGTTACTACACTGGCAGATGATCGCTCAGTGTCAGCACTTCGGAGATTGGATAAGGCACTGAGGTCAAGATTTGGGAACACAGAACATCGGCAACGAGGACATTTCACATTCAGTCTAAGCCACTCGTCAATGCACCCTACATGAAAATTGTGTGCACAAGGCAAGCCACGAACCTGCACCACTCCTTGTTAGAAACTCAGGCTCATATGCCATAATCAAAATGTACAATTTAATATGTTTTCAGACTATAAATTGCACTATCTGCAAGCATCTTCAGTTCAAATCATGGAAAGCTTCTCATCATAACATTTTATGTATTAGGTTTTTGTTTCCATATGACCTGTGTGAATTGCAGTGATTTTGAAAATGATATGTCAGGCCAGGATTTGCAAACTGGGGACTAAGAGTATAAAATTCTGATCCTATGAACATAATTGATTTTATGTCAATGTAAATTGCCTGTACAGAGCCAATATTTACAAAGAATAAATCCAACTCACTTATAATTGGAGAATAACTCATTTAATCTAAACCATGAAAATTAAGAGTATAGTATAAATGGAAGACCTTAGATGAAGTGCACGAGTTGACCTAAAGGGTTTTACCTCGTTCCCTATATGGAACTCTTCCAAGCAGATCGGACATTCACTGCAATCAGTTGGAACAGCCTTCAACCTGAATTTTGGAAGTTCTTGAATGAGTGCCTCCACTGCTTCTCTCTGAGCAAAGACCACAAAGAAAGGATAGAAGATCAGGATTTACAGCATGTAAAACTAGATATACAGTGAAAGTTGCATCAAGAAAGTCTGGTTGGAAAAGATCGTGTCCACTCCAACAACAGAAAATTTATACTAAGAAGTACTGGAATATAATGCTTAAGCATGATGACCATACATTCTCCAGAAGAAGCAAGACACTCGTAATCTTATTCAAAGATTAGCAACTGGGAACCTTTTTGATTGGACATCCAAAAAGCATTTACACGAATATAAATGATGTCAATGTGCATGTTCCTTTAGGCTTTTCTTGGTAAGAAGGATGGAAAGCGGTGAGGATGAAAAACTTATTAATCTAATAATTAAAATTCATAACAACTTTTTTACTTTGTAACTTAACCATTAGATTTACAAATTTTCCATCCTCAATTGTTTCCACCCTTCCAACCAAGCAAAGCCTTACTGGGGAAGGGAGTAAGGGAAGGGAGTTGTAGTTTCCTACATTTGACTAATCCATTATGTTGCCCATTTCCATTTCCCAAATGATATTATTTACATGGCTAGACTAGGGCCCAAAGATGATTTACACTGCTTCTACCTTGTAAGTTTGGATAGTCAAATGTGGAAAATGTATGAGGAGAACTTCAGCCCCACCTTTTGATGGAGGATGTACATATATGGTTGACGGATTAAATTATCTAGGGCTTTATTTTATATTTTATATTTTTTATGGGTTTAATTGTAACTTTTATATATCTAGGATATTTTAGAATACTTACGTTATTTTATGCTAATCAGTATTTTGCTTTTATTTCCAAATACTAGGGTTTTAGGGTGTTATATTTGGTTATTTGTATTTTTATTCAGGTATTCCGTTTAGTTATAAATACCTATGTTATTTTAGTTTCAACTAGGTTTTGCACATTGAATATTGGAGATATCATGATTTTGGTTATTGAGATTTTCTCCCTCTATTGATTGTATTTGGTTTTCTCCCTTACGCTATGTTTGAATATATATAAATAAAGGAAAGGAAAAAAAAAGAAAAGAAAGGAGAGGAAAGGTTTTTAAAGCAAAAGAAAAGATACATGTATCCCTTATTTGAATAGTTAAAATTAATAAAAGAAAGGAAAATAATTCTAACAACCATTGTTTGGATAAATAATGAAAAGGAAAGGAAAAAATTCATTATAATATTCTTTTCAATTACAATATTTTTTTTTTATAAAATAACATATAATATATAAATATATCTTTATACTACCTAGCTTGTATAAACAAATCTTTTTAAACAAAATTGAGTATATTTAATACAGTAAAATGTATTAGCTAGTTATTGATTTACTTTTAATTTTGTGTTTAATTCAACATTTTAATTTATTTTGACAATAATTTGACTTATTTTGTTGTTAAGACTTGAAAAATCATAAAATATTTATAAATTGTGATGTCATATAAAATACTCATAAAAAGAAATTATTTTTGTAGGTAGTGTCAGTTATATAATCAAATCTAATATCATAATAAAAATATGGATATAATAGTCTTTTTATAAAAATAAAATTTTTTCAACTTTCCTTTCCTTAACTTTTCCCTCAAATTGGGATATTAAAAAAATTGAGGATTATAAGGGAAATCAAAAGTTATTGAATTTCCACCTCTTTCTTTTCCTTTAAATTAAAAGTTTATCTAAACAAAAAAAGAGTTTTTCTATTTCCATTACTTTCGTTTATTTTTCTTTCCTTTCCTTCCCTTCCCCTCAACCCAAACATAAGGTTACTTCTTCCATTCCTCCTCTGATTTCCCCTGTTCTTCCTCAATTGTTCTTGTCTATTTCTGAGTTCCTCCCCAAATTTCTATATTCTATCTCTTATCATTGTTCTACATCACCTTTTCTAGGTAATATAATTTAACATGAACAAAAAAATTTTAAAATAAAGGAAGCCATCAATGTGGTTCATAATAACTAAGCACCAACCTGAGCTGGAGTCAAATAAAGTCCAGGATGGTATGATGCTGTATCTTGGCCCATGCTTCTCATCTCTTGACCTGCAGCTTCAAATGCCCAATCTGGTACTCGAATCATGTCCACCAAAACCTGGATTAAGTTATGTGTTTAGTTCAGGAGCCATCAAACTGAAGTGCTAACTTATATGGAAATAAATTTTCTCCAAAACTACCAACACTTGCCCAAACATGTTTAGATAGTCAAAGAATTTTATCACAATTAGAAACTCCACAAAATGGAGAGAAGAGAAACAAAAAAAACTAATTCAAACAAAAGACAAAACTGGCATCTCTTAGGTTTAAAGAGATATGCAATGATTGAAACCACTTTAGGTACTTCTCAGAATTCAAAGGGAGGTGGTCAATTACAAAAGATGTCTTACATCACTACAATAACAAAGAATCCATAAAGGATGTCAACTGTCAAGCACTGGGAAAACTAAAGTCACTCAGCAGAACTAAGCTGCATTACCTTTCTATGATAGTCAACGTTCTTGTGTATTCACATAATTAGAATTACATTTCTACTCAAAGATAGATAAAATATTGTGCTTTGAAACAACAAATTAGAAATTCCAGGCAAGCTCTAAAGTAATATCCCTGAAGATTGGACAGAAAGAAAAATGAAAAATAAACCTTTAGTACATAAATATGCAATTATTTACATCATAAACCCCAAAATGACCATTCTACACTCAAATCTATACAAGTTAATCTCTTTTGTTTCTCTAAGCTCATTAACCTTTCCTTTGATACATTTCTCACATAAGTATACTTTATCCATATTTCAATATAAATAACATGCCTTGTGAATCTTATATTTTAATGAAACTTCAAATAAGTAATGTCATTAATAGATGAATTTCAGAAAAAATTTGCAGGATACACAAATCAAGATTTATGTAGCAAGAGATTCAAGAACTCACCCCATATTCTGAAATAGGAATTCCCTGCTGAGCACGTAATAAGTGTGCTTGTCTCCGTGTCATCCACTGCAAAAGAGGTATTTCATGAACAAAGATAAGAAGAATATAGCAGTCAAAAAGTAACATAACCAACAGTTTAGATGCTCTATGTATGCATCCAGGCCAATGAGAACACATAACATAAATTTAAAGAAACAGAAATATAAGAGAGCAGTCATTATGAGTCTGTAACACAGGTCATTGATGAATTAAATGATACTCTGCTGTAGTATAGGCATGACTAACCTTTCCCATAGACATACAAGCAATGCAGAGCAGTGCACAGTAACTGAAAAGCAGCCAAATCAGGAAACCATATTTCTGACCTTCTTCAGGCAACTGCATATATTTACAACATTACCTCAAGTGATAAGATAGCTAGCACAAGACACTGATCCTGACAACTGTGAAAGCATAAAACACTTACACAGTTCCTTGCGCTGGTGAACCATAAAGTGCCTATTATAGTCCAGGCCCAAAGAAATGGATAAAGTAGCAGAGATAGAATTGAAAGAACCACTATTCTTCCACAAAAACGAGCATACCTTTGCTGCCATCCAAAATCCCTAGAAACATAAGAAGTCAAACATAAGAGAATCACCAGTCAAGTTAAAAGTTAGCTACTAACAGAGAACTATTTTTTAAAGACAAAAAGCTCCTGAGTAGCAACAAACTCAAGCAACTATTATAGAAGAAAGAAATGCAGGTATTCGCAACTGACAATCAAACAGTACAAAGGGAAAATTAGATTTTTTAACCATACTTTCCCTGGCTAATTGGCATTTGGTATCTAAGTTGACTGGCATGACAGCATAACCATGCAATTAATAAGAAACAATTTACACTTCAAGATAATCAACCTCTCTCACTTAAACTACTTAATAGTAAAAGATAAGATATGCTTACAAACCCATTCCAGCGGCAAGTCCATTATCTACAAACATCAAAAGACGAAAAAGGAACACCGTAGTGTAATCAACCTGAAACAATAATCATTAAGTTCCAAATTTAGAAGAAACTTTTCCTACATCAGCAACATCCAAAAGGAAACAACTTTTCAATCCATACAAAATTCTCAAAACCAAAAAAAAAAAAAAAAACACTCACCACGATCCATATATGCAACGGGTACGTACAAAGATGATAACGCTTCCAATTGATTGCGACAATGATTCTAATGGTAAACAATTGTTAAAGAACAAACAAATATTTTTCACATAATCGCAAAAGACAACATCAAAGATTCATTTTCTTTCCAATTTCCTCCAATTTTCGCAGCTACCAAACAGTACTAAAACAAAGATCACCTTCAAAAAAAAGAAAAAAAATTCACATAAATTACTAAACTAGCAAGAAAAACAAAACCCAAATTCAAAATCATGAAAAATCAAAAGCAAAACGAAGAGCCATATTGAGACAGAAAAGGATACACGCTTGTAGCTATCATAGACAAAAAGAACCCATCATACCTGCAAAAACCAATAACAATAATAATAACCCACAATTTTTAACTTCATAAATAAATGAAAGAAAAATTAAAGAGATGAAAAACAAACCACTTGAAATCGACGCCTCCATTGGCCATAGAGGAAAGAGTTTTAAAAAGTATAAGAGAAGAAAGAAGGGGGGGCGGGGCTTTAGAGAGAGTAAGAACAGCAGAACTCCAAAGATCGAATCTTCATTTGGAAGACAAAACGAAACAAAACTGGATGAAATCGAAGATGAATATATCCGTACAATGATTATCTTGTTTTGGTTGTTGATTCATTAAATGTAGCAAAATAAACTCTCACTCTTAGATTAAAGAGAAACTAATTACGGACGTTAGGAAGAAAAAGATTAAAACAATGGTAAAGGTAAGCTTGAATGGAAGCAGTAGTTTTTTAGGACTGGGAAGTACAGATCTAAATAAGTAAGGTATTTGGTAGAGATTTTTTGTACAGTCTTTATATTATCCTAGATTTAAACCCCATGCTGTAGTATGCAGTTAAATTTAAAAAATAATATAATATAAAAAGTATTTTTATTTTTACCTTAATTTCTTATTAATATACCTCAAAAATTATATTATAAATTTAATTTTTAATAAAATTATTTAAACACCTATTAGTCAATTATTTTTTTATCTTTCATATTTCCTTTCAAAATTTATTTTGAAAGTTTTTAAAGATTTTGGAATATTTATTTTTTAAAAATTTGAAATTTTAAAAATTCTTAAAAACTTCCAAACATATATTTTTTTTGAAACCTTTAAAAACTTTTAAAATTTCAAATCGTATCTAAATATTTTAATATGAAATCTTATAAAATTAAACAAAAATAAAAATAAAAATAAAAAATAAATTATTTACTTTTAATTTTATACTTTTTTAACTTAAAATAAGCTAATTTAATTTAAATTTGGCTTGATTAGACTTAAAATCCTTTAAGATTTTTAATTGGGAAGAGAGAAAAGGGATGGTGTGTTAAAGAAAGAGAGATAGATTGTTTAGATTTTTTGGTAAATTTATTTTTTGTGTGTGAAATGTGTTGAGTAAAAAATTGAGTATTAAAAGTAAATGGTATTTTAAGTAATTGTTATGGTGCAAATAGCAACACCTAATATAAATATTTCATTATGAAATCAAATTTTATTAAAATACATGAATATAACAAAAAATTAATATACATTTATGTATATATATCTATTTTAAAGTATCACAATTGGAGACATGATATTTGAATTTATATAAAATAAACACAACAATTCAATTCATATAAAATAGACAATATTGAAGACTCTAAAATATCATTTTAAAGAAACTTACCTTTATTTATACCAGATAATAATAAAAATTTTCAACAAAAATTAAAAAATTGAATTAACTTTAATGCAAAATCGCATAATAAAAGATAGTATAAATATTAAAAAATAAATTTAGAAAATTATTATAAAAAAATATTAGTATGACTTTTTATGGCTTTTATCTCATCACTTATACCCCTGCAATAACATCAAAAGATTTTTATTTTATTATGTGAATTTCCAAACAATGAGAGATTAATAAAAAGAAAAGGAAAGGGGAATATGAAAATTAAATATTTATTTTTACTTAAAATTAATTGTCTCGCATTACGCTACTATAATTAAATTTAAAAAATAATATAATATAAATATTTCGTTATAAATTGAAGGCATAATATTTGAATTTATATAAAATAGACATGACGATTAAATGAGCTTCTAAACATATTAGTAGCATGTGCAAATATGAAAGTGGTGCATGACACGTCGATCTGGATGGTGGCCAAGATTGGTGAATTGCAACTTCTTTTTGGGAAACAAACTGAGCAGTGAATCCTACAAAATTTATAATTTTGATTAAAACATATAGAGCATTATCATCATTTAATTGAGGCATTAAGGGCATTATAATGCTAACAAAAATACTAACAATAAACTATAGCATAAATGATTGCGAAGAATTTTTAACTCACTATTATAGCTGCGGTTGGATCAATCCACTAGTGGAAATGACTAGCTAGAATGGTTGTTGCTAAACCCACTGAATTAGTAATCACATCAAAGAAATGATCCTGTGCATAGGCTCTAACGTTTTCATTTTTAAATTGCAGACAATAGACCTTAAGGATGAACTTCATTACTGTCATGAAAACCATAATTCCAATCATCCATTTCTCTTGCTTGTGATTGATCTCAAGGTAGGACTATAGCCAATTAGTAATCACATCAAAGTAACATACCCTTGTCATAAGTTCCCTGACAGACTCTAGCAATACTTGTAATCCTAGAGTTGCCATTACTGAAGCAAAAACAATGATACCTTGGATTGTCAAGCTTGGTTAGTAGATATTTGTTGTAAATGGAAAGAAATACCAATGTTTATTGAAAAACAGTCCAAAATGGGAAGAAAAGCCATCTAAAAAAGAATTTCTGTGAAGCTCAGATCAACAGAAGATGATCTCTTAAATTAATCATAACTCTATATTAGATTGGAGACCACAGAAATAACTTACCTCATTAAAGAAGCAAAAGAAACACATATTACATCACAAGACTTGGCACATATTCACAAAACTAAGTCTTAAATGAACTTGGAATGAGAAAACCATAAACAAATAATCTTTAATAGTTTTGCCTTGTTTACCATTATTGTTTTTAGTTAGACATTTGATATTGTCATTAACTATTGAAACTTAAATCAGAAGACAACTAAATTACACTTCAGAAACTAAAAAACTAAGATAGAAAAATGATTAGAAATTTTATAATGTAAGTTACCTATCTTCATTCCCAACTACAATTGTAGTTGCCCTTGACCATTCCATGTCATATATATAGATACCTGTAAATAGAAGCAAATAGTCAATGAGGTTATTATGCAAACTCATAACCTTAGAACTTTGCTTACCAAGAGCATAAACTTTGGCAATAAAGATTGAAGATTTATTTCCATTTTTTAATAAAATTCAAATTTTTATTTTAATATTATTTCCCTTTAAGTTGGTAATAAGAGGCAGTTATCAAGAGAACCATTAGGAACATACTCATAGACTAGAATTCTTTGACCCTTCTTAGCACAAAATCCCTACAATTTGACCAAGTTGAGATGGTGTATCCGAGCAATAATTGTTTCCTCTACCCAAAACTCTGCATCCCCACCAGTCACATTCTTCAAGCACTTCACCGCAACAACATGGTTATGGGTTAATTCCCCTTTATAAACATCACCAAAGCTTTCTTTTCCAATCAGATTGGAAAAGTCATTTGTTGCTATTTTGATCTCTACATAGATGAACTGTTTTGGCCCCCCTGCCGGCAAGAACTTGAGGGCAAAGGTTCGAGCCACGTCTCTCTACTTGATGTATTTCTTCAGGAATCCCCAAAAGAAAAGAACCCTAAAAATAAGCTAAACAACAAACAAGGTACATATTATCACTATATTCCGAGTCGGGATATCGGATTCTTCAGGAGGTAAAGGAAGGCTTATATTAACGAGAAATGTGAAACCCTAAAAGCCCTAATGTTACACAATGAAGCGTAAATTGCGAAAAGTCGAAACAGAAAAAGAAAAGAACGTAGAGATACTTGTGAAGGGAATGTGGAGATCGAGCATGCAGAGTCTGCGATCTTCCATGTGCTTTTTCAATGTGCCGTGGTGGAGAAGACAGCATGTTAACCAGAATCGTGATACGGAAGCCTCCCCTCCATCAATCGTGCGTTCTTTACTAACATCCGCCCGCACCGTCGTTCTCATAATCTCTGCCTTCCGCTCCGTTGCTTTGCTTTTCTTTTTGTTCGATCAAAGTATGGTTCAGCTTCACCATCATCATCGTCATCTGAGCCACCGGTTTCTACCCTTTACATATATTCCGTCAGATCCTCCCTTCTCAGTTCTCTCAGTGGACCCTTACCAACCACCACATCCTTGTTATTAAGATCACCGCTTGTACTGTCAGTTCTCCTTAATTGTTTTAGGGTTTAAGAATTGATTAATGCTTGCAATCTAGAAGCTTTAACCTTGTTTTTTTTAAACAATGAAACCTAGCGATCCAAAAACTTTTAAGAACTACTTTATTCCAAAATTTCCCATGCAATTATTTTTTTAAAACATTGCTTTTCTGTGTTGTTAATGTAAATTGGGGACTACTTTTATTTATTGTTATAGATTAGATTGTGACAGATGTTATACGTGAAATAGTTTTGCTTATTTAATATGGGTATATAGATAAATTAATTTTTTTAAAAAAATATATTTAAATATTTAAAATTTATAACATATATAAAATTTATATATATTGATTTGTCTTAAAAAAACAAACTTTTTGAAAAAAGCAAAAAAAATGACTATTTTCCCTTTGAACTATTTTATCTGCAATAATTTTTATATGCCTACAAGACTGTATCAAATAAAAATAAATTATGTCTTTCTTAAAAATCAAAACATATATTATTGAATGATGACTTAAATAATAAAGAAAATATTAATATACTTTCACTTTTGTAATTTTGATCAAATTGTTATACAAAATATGAAAAATATTAGGAGATATATGAAAAAATAAATAAATTGAAAAAATTTTATTTTTCATAATATTGAAATTGCAATTGTGATGAAATATATCTTCGAAAAAAAAGTTGTAAGCAAAAAAAATTGTAATAGTAATAGAATATACCTTAAAAAAGTTGCAAATAAAAAAAAATTGATATAATACATTACATTTATAGTCTTAAATTTGTAGAAGAACTATTAAGTTGCAAATAAGATTGAATAGATAATTTTCAAATTAATATTTTTAAATTTGAAAGGGATATAATAAGTTATAAAGATGAAATCAAATTTTTTGCATATATTTGAAATATAAATTTGATAATTAAAGTTTAAATGAATATAATCTTTTTGATGGCCTTATTGTTTTAAAGATTTAATATGAAAAGTGGTTTGAATTTTCAATGTCTTACGTAAATTTTCTAAAAGATAATGTTTTGTTGATTCAAACCAAGATAAAATGATTGTTGAAAGATTTAAATAAATTTAATCTTTGCAGTTTTTAAACATGCCAAATGTTTTGATAATTAAGTAATTTCTTAAATAAGATTATTTAATAAACAACTAAAATTATTTATTATGAAGATGAATTCCATATTTTAAAATCAAACTAAACATAACTTATGGGACCAAAAAATTAATAAATTAGTAGTAATTTATTTTATGATTAATTTCATAAATGACCTTTAAATTATAAAGAAATGTTTAATGTGGTACTTTAACTTCAAAATTTTTTAATGCAGTAATGGTACCTGAAACTATTAATTTGTTAACTAATGTGATACTTGAAAGGTTGTTTGTCTGCTATATGTCATTATTTGAAGCTAACTACATTAGGTGTGAGTATCACATTAGTTAACATATTAAT